GCGCAGGCGGGGACCGCGCAGCCACCGGAGCCGCAGGAGCCGCGGGAACAGCCGCCAGCAGCGTGAGCGCCCGAGACTCCGCGGCGGGCGGAGGAGGACCAGCCCGGCCCGCCGGCGCCCAGGAAACGGGCCCGCCCCCGGCCGCCTACTGGAGCGCCGGCCGACGCCTGACTTCTCATTGGTCGGCCGCTGATGTCACTCAGCGCCCAACCATCGCTCTGTTCCGAGAGGCAGGGGAGACACCTGTTCTGCGAGGGACAACTTGCTAAAGGGTCAGCGGTTCTGCCTCCCACCCTGACCCCAAGGAAAGCAGTCAGGCTGCAGCTGCTCAAAGAAGAGGAGGAGGAATGTGCACTACATCGCACGCCCACATCCTCCACCCAGTTGCTGTGCATATATGCAAACACACATGCAATACAGTCAACAAGTACGCACGTCGTGTGTTTAGCCATGCGCCGAAAACTGTGAGAATACAGGAGATTAGAGAGAATCCCGGGGGAGGGGGGTGTGTGACGATAAAATCCGTGAGACCAAACTAGCACAGATTTAACAATTAGAGGAAATTTAAGAGTCCATGCAATCCTGGTTAATAGCTATATATTTTAAATGCTTAGTTTGATATCTTTGGAAACCAAAAGAATAAGAAATGATAAACATTAATAAACAAAAAATATGAAAAACTTGGGCAACGTAACAACAAAAAGACAACCCAATCATAAAATGGGCAAAGAACTTAAAATAGACATTTCACCAAAGAGTGCATTCAAATGGCCACCAGATGCGTGAAAAGATGCTCATCAGCTTCATTAGTCATCACAGAGACACAAATCAAAATCACACTGAGATACCATTACACTCCCACTGACTGGGGCAGCTCTGGTGGCCTGGTGCCTAAGGCATTTGACTGCTAACCAGAAGGCTGGCGGTTCAAACCCACCAGCCACTCCTTGGAAGGAAGACTGGGCATTCTACTTCCCTGGAGATACTGCTTGGGAAACCCAAGGAGGGGTCGCTATGAGGTGGATCCCACTCGGCGGCAGTGAGTTTGGTTTCAGTTTGAAGATGACTGGATTAAAAGAAAAAAAAAAAAAAGCAGAAAATGACAAATGTTGGCTATGGTTAGGGGAAATTGAACTCTTATCCATTCCTAGGAGGAATGCAAAATGATAAAGCTGTTGTGGAAAATAGTGTGTGTGTGGGGGGGGGGTCAAAAAAAAAAAAAAAAAGAAGAAGAAGAAGTACCACACAACCCAGTAATTACATTCCTAGGTACATACCCAAAAGATTTGAAAAAGGCTTGTACAAAAAGAGAGTTGTACACCAATGTTCATCACAGCACTTTTCACAATAGCCAAAAGGAGGAAACAAACTAAATGTCCATCATCAGATGAACGGATAAACAAAATATGGCATATACATACAATGAATACTACTCAGATAGCAGGAGAAATGAAGCCTTGATACATGTATGGCTGGAATTTGAAGACATTATGCTGAGCAAAATAAGCCAATCACAAAAGGATAAATATAGCATGACCTCACTTAGGCAAAAAGACAAGGAAAGGCAAATATATGGGGGCCAAAGTTTCTTAGTGGTTACCAGGGGCAGGTAGGAGGGAAGAGAAAAGGAGGGTTAACAGTGACAGAAATAAAATCACATTAATTAAGGGTAGAGGTACACAGCTGATTATCGTAATTCCTGTCAATGAGTTGTATACATATAAAAAGTTGAATTAGCAAAAATTTTGTGATAGATATAATGACAATGATGATAATAAAGAGTAGCAGCTAAGGCTGCTTATGTAGAACCAAACTCCTCATGGAACTTGGTTCCTTGGTTTGGAGGTTTAAAGTCATGGTTTCATGGGACATCTCCATTAATTGGCCCAATAATGTGTTCAGTGCCTCTATTCCACTTCCTAGTAGGGTCGTGATGAGTTGGGTCCAACTCAACAGCACATAACAACAACAGTTCATTGTGTGGTGCCTGGGGTCTCAAAAGCTTGCAAGCAGCCATCCAAGGCACAGCGATTGTCTCTATTTATCTGGGGCAACAGAGCAAGGAGAGTTAGGAATAGGAGGAGGATGTGCCATGTGACTGATTGCCTCCACGAACAGCTGCCTTCTTTGCCATGAGACTAGAAGAACTAGATGGTACTCGTTACTGAACATTTTGATCAATCTTGATCAAAATTTTATCAAAATCTCACAAGTGAGGTCATACTATATTTACCCCTTTTCAGGATCAAAATCTTGATCAAAAGGGGGGAAATACAGAACAGAATTAAAAATTATCACAGAGTCCAGACTTTTTGGAACCATGGAGGCTGGATGAACCCCTGAAAATATTTAAATATTAAATCTTTCAAGTTTAAACCAAAAATATCCCTGAAGACTTCCTAAAACCGAACAATGGCTTAGCTTAACTAGTTACGAAAAAAGTCTACTTTGACCAGTATGCTCTGTAGGGGATCAAATTGACAATAGCAAGTCAAAAGATTAGATAGGAACCTTAGGGGCAGTGAGTTTGTGGTAATTAGAGAGGAACAACTCAGAAAAGGGGGGTGAAAATGGTTGTACAACTCAAACAATGCAATCAACAGCACTCAATTGTATGTGTAGATATTGTTGAATTGGTGTATGTTTCGCTGTGTATGTTTTCAACAACAGCAAAATATATAACTTAGGGAGGAAAAATCACCCTACAATGGCAGAGTAGCTGATGGAATATTGAGTGATCCTCATGTTGAGGACAATTGGAAAGAAAAAAAAAAAGGTTATTTCGAAAGCTCTGTTGCCAAATCATGGTGGCCTGATAGTGCAGCGGTTAAGTGTTTTGTTGCTAACCAAAAGTTCAGCAATTCAAACCCACCAGCCCCTCTGCAGGAGAAAGATGTGGCAATCTGCTTCTGTAAAGATTTACAGCCTTGGGAACCTCATAGAGCAGTTCTACTGTGCCCTATAGGGTCACTATGAGTCAGAATTGTCTTCAAGCCAATGGGTTTCGATAGCCCAGTAGTGGAAATTTGGAAACATCACAATTCTGCCATCCTAATCCATTACTGTTTCAATCCTCCCCTTTTCTTTAGAGCCTTGATCTACACAAAGGCACCATTTGTAACATGTTGACTCAATGCACCCAGGTTGAATGGAGTGCAGGTGGGAACTGCTGGCTACCACTAATAAGAACATGACCCTCAAGGAGGAAGCTGATTCTACCATTTTAGCTGCATGGCTTTTGCCAGCTACTTAATCTCTCCCTACCTTAGTTTCTTTAATGTCCAGTGGGGAGGGTGCTGGCCTCACAGTGTTGTTGTGAGGAGTCAATGAGAACCCTTACCTCAAAACTGGCATGTAAGAGCTCAGTGAGTGTAGTATTTCATTTTAACAGAATTTAGAATCCAAATGCACAAATAGCTATAACACATTTGGCGGAGAATTAGTGAAGATATCATGTTATTGTTGCTGTTGTTATGTGCCGTCGAGTCAAACCCGACTCATAGCGACCCCTCCTTGGGTTTCCGAGGCAGTATCACTACGGAAGTAGGATTGCCCAACCTTCCTTCTGAGGAGTGGCTGGTGGGTTTGAACAGGTTAGCAGGCAAGTGTCTTAGCCACTATGCTACCAGAACTCCCGAAGATATCATAGCAAGTGAAATTAGGGGAGGATGAGATTTACAATATCAGAGATGGAGAGGAAGGATAGGTGACCCAGTGGACCAAAAAAAAAGTGAGCCACAGCCTGGCAGAGGAAAGCACATCACGTGTTTAGTGAAAAATAAGCAGGTGGGTGTGGCTGGAGCTGGGATGTGCTCTCTGTAGGACAGTGGAAGGGAACACTGACTGATGTCAGTAAATGTGGAATGGAATTACAACTGTGCAAGGGCTAATATCAGATTGGGAAATTAGTGCTTAACTGGTTTGAAAACAAGACTTTTGAATAAAGGAATGATGTAAGACTTGCTGTTTGCAGTTAGAGTGGAAGAGAGATTAAAGAGAGAGAGGAGGTCCATTAGGAGGCTATTACTAACAGTCCATATAATCTGAAATTAGGATCTGATTCAGGGGTGTCTTAGGCTGAGCTCTCTAGAGAAGCAAAACCAGTGAAAGTTATATATGCTTGTGTGTGTGTGTGTGTGTGTGTGTATCTGGTGCTGCCATGCCTAAGGCATTTGACTGCTAATCAGAAGGTTGGCAGTTCAAACCCACCAGCTGCTCCATGGAAGGAAGATGGGGCAATCTACTTCCATAAAGATTTACCACCTTGGAAACCCAGTGGAGGTTGCTATGACTTGGAATCGACTTGATGGCAGTGGGTTTTAAATATATATATATATACATACATGAAAGACAGAGAGAAACTTATCTCAAGGAAATGACTAATGCAGTTGTAGAGGCTGGCAATTCCCAAGTCTGTGGGTCAGATGTCAAGCTGGAGGCTGCAGGGGTTGATGAACCTAAGATTGGCAGACAATATAGGCTGCTGGCTGTGGAGGCTGACAAATCCGAGATCTGCAGGTCAGATGGCAGGCTATTGGCCACAGGCTGTGAATGCAACAATCTCGAGATTAGCAGGCCATACGGTATACGGTAGGCTACTGGTTCAAGTTCAAGAACAAGAGACCAGCTGATGAGCCAGATGTAGGATCCAGATTGAGCAAAAAGCCGGAGACCTCTGCCAGGACATCTGTATATATTGGAAGCAGGCCACACCCCTGAGGACACTTCCTTTCAACTGTTTGTCTGCTCACAGCTGTTTTCACTGTGAAGACGATAGCATTGTATCAGATCTCATCAGGGGGGATGATGACATCACAACTGCTGAACTACTGAGAATCATGACACACACACCTAAACTATTTAGAACTGATAAGAGAGGCTAGGAATGAAGCCAGGCTCT